TCTACCATGCTGCTTCTTTAATTTTCTCTGCCAAGTTGCTTCTTTGATTTTCTCTACCATGTTGCTTCTTTAATTTTCTCTGCCATGTTGCTTCTTTGATTTTCTCTACCATGCTGCTTCTTTGATTTTCTCTGCCATTTTGCTTCTTTAATTTTCTCTGCCATGCTGCTTCTTTGATTTTCTCTGCCATGCTGCTTCTTTAATTTTCTCTGTCATGCTGCTTTTTGATTTTCTTTGGAGGTGCATTTGATCCAAAACAGACATACACAAACACACATCATAATTACACATGGCGGAGAAACATAATCGCAGTGATACACAAGGATGTTTTCAAATTCAACATCTACACCACCCATTAAGCTCATCACTTGCTTCCTTGAACCATGATGCACAGGTGGTTAACTCATTTATTTGGCCAAACATAGCAAAACAAACAATTAAGTGACCAAGATAAACTTAGAATTGATGGGGAAAAATATTTATTATTTTCAAATAAGCATAGTAGCTTAAGTTCAAATTAGAAAAATTCAACTTATGTGTATCATTTCCGATTATGTGTTTGTGAATATGCCTTAATTGCGTCCTTCAAAATAACATCCTTCACAAACCCACCAAAAAGCTGCCTTTGTAATCAACTCTCTGAAGCTCCACTATGATAACCAACACATTGCCCCGTTTGGTAGAGCTGTGAGAAAGTGATTATAGCTTATACCTTAACAGCTTATAGCTTATAACTGTGAACATAAGCTGATTTTTGACTTATAAATTAAGGTTCTCCTCCCCCACTCAAAGAATAAGTTGATTTTTGAGTTACAAAAAGCTATAAGCTGTATTGTTAAGCTGAACCAAACACATCAAAATAGTTTAAATTAAGCTAAAAGCTTAAATAAGGTAGAAATAAGCCCTACCAAATAGGGCCATTGTCTCCCGCTCTTTATATCTATATATGTTGGAAAAAATGATTTTTTTGTGACTTTAATTTAATATTAAAGTGTTATGACTTTAATTAAATATTAAAGTGAGTCCCAACCATCTATTGTGTTGGGTTCAAGTGGGCCAAAAACCATTGAGATTTGAATAAGAAATTGCCAAGAAATTGCCTCATGATGTTAGATTCATGAAAGGGATTTTAAAGGGTATTTAAATCCTTTTTCTTGGCTAAAGGGTGTGAATCCTTTGGTATCCAAACTTTTCATCTTTTTGAAAAGGGGCTATGGATGCTAGTTAATGGTGCTTTAATGACCAGCCATAAAGGCTGGTGACTCTTCCTCTCTCCCCTATACATGTATAAATTGAGACCTTCCTGTCAAGTCTGAATATAGAAATTTTTGCTTCCATTTTATAAGTCAGTTTTTCAGAAAGTTCCTACTGTGAGAGAGTGCTGCCACTGTTTTTGTTCACTAAGCTAGACAGCAAGTACTTCTGCCGTAGCTAGTTTTTAACCGTCGTATCCTAGGAGACAGACGTCAGAATTCCTCAAACACTCGACTCGTGAGGCGGCAAAATCTGTTTTAAGGAAACTGCTACTGTGCAGGCTTCGGTTTGCTTTCTTTACCATTTTATTGTATTGTGTATTTCTGTTATAATTTAGTTGTAATTCTCAGCATGTGTTCTTGGTATATATATCATTTTGATTTCTTCATAAATCTATTTATTTAATTTCACAATTTGAACAACAACATATACATGTATAGACCTTTCGTGAATTTATAGGACTTGTTTGACTACTGGTGTTGCCAATGGAAATTGATACTCAAAGCCTTTTGGAGTACGATCTCAACTCCAAACCACCATTCACAAACGGCTCTGTTTCTGAGAAATGGTATCGTCGTTCACTTCCACCATTGGGTTGTCTTCTCATCGCGGTATGCTTCGATTCCGATATCGGTGAAGTCGTACATGGATAAGGATGCTTTGAGCTTCGCTTGACGGAGGAGAGAGAGTTGGAAAAGACGACAACAATAATGATGAACTCCGGCGGAATCTAGAGCGGCCATTGAAGGGAGTGAAGTGAGGTTTGGATTTAGAGAGAGAGAGAAAGAGAGAGAGTTGAAATAGGAAAGATAGAGAGAGAGAAAAAGGTTTGATTTGAGAGTGTCAAATTGAGGGACCTCAGAAATCATAAAATAATATTGTGGATCTTATACATTACTAAAAGTGAGAGAGGGACCTTAGACTAATTTTCTCTTAAAATATATCATCATAAAATAATATAATACCAACATATAATTTTTAATATTAAAATATATAAAAATGCCAATAGTATTTATAAAATTTCATATAATTAATCACATTATAAAATAATAAAACAAACATGAATTCTTACTTAGTCTAGTGGTCATAAAACACATATAATTTTTCTTAGTTCTCACACTAACAATCCTCACACTAACAATCTCACTAAACTAAACTCTGAGGCCTCATTTGTTTTGAATTATAAATGAAAGGATTTGATTCATAGTGTGTAAGGACAAAAAAAAAATCATCTTTGTTTGCAAAGGGGAGCTTCGGATTGGTAGTCATGGGCTTTGGAGGAGTGGATTAGTAAAAGCTTCAAAGAGTTGAGTTTCAAAGCTAGTGAGATAATTAGCTTGGAAAAAAATTATTTTGTTGGTAATGCAAGTGTGTGTGTGATTTTTTTTTTTTTTTTTTTTTTTTTTTTTACTACTTATGGTTTCAGCATGTATCCACTGCTCAATGGCTCATTATTATTTTATGCTTTTACTTCCGCTAAGCCCTAGTATTATATTATGATTGATTTGACTTTGAGGCCGAAGGCAATCTAAGATTACTGGCCGGTCATGGCCTGAACCTCTAGGGACAGGCTAGGGTCATGACACATGCATCTTTAATTTATAAAGTTTTCAGAATGAATTTCGGGTTTTGTGAGTTTTGGAAAAGAGTATGAAGCTTAATTGTACATGCATGAGGATTTGAGTTTCAATTTTATGAAATTCTTAAGGTTTTTAGCTAAAGGTTTGAAATTGAGTACATGATTATGTTTTTGAAAGAGTTTCTAAGTGTTTTAAGGTTTTGAACAAGACATGCAAGTTTATGATTTGAAAATATGTGTTTTGAAGCTCAACTCTGTTATGAAAATTCCAGAATTTGGTCTCATCGCTCAAGCGAACAATCTATTGCTCGATCGCACATTTGATGCATCTAGCATTTTTGCAAAAACATTCCACTTAGCTCAAGTGACCAAGTTATCGCTCGAGCACACATATCTTGCATCTGATAGTTTTATAGAGTTTTGTTGTTGGCTGGAGCAACCAAGTTGCCGCTCGAGTGACCTTTGCATGTTGGCTAGAGCGACCGTTGAGCCTAGATTCAAATCATCTAGCACTTTTGTAGACAATGTGGTCCGCTCGAGCGACTAATGTTGTGCTCCAGCAAAGTGCTCTGTTTCAACAAGTTTTGAGAAACCATGTTTTGTCTGCATTTGCATTCTCTTTCCTTTCTAATGTAGTCTTAGGTATGAATTGAGCCTCTTAAATGAATCAATGAGTTAGAATGAAACTTAAGAAAATTGAATAAGTTAAAGAACAATCCGATTAAGCAATGTGATCCAATGTGTATACGTTATGAATTATGCAGGTTCATTAGCAAGGATGTATCGGTAACTAAATCATCGTGAGTAATATCTTAGTAAAAATATTTTCATATACTTTATTTTGTCACCATCGGCAAATCGGCGGTTGGGCGGGGCGACAATCGGCGACTGGGCGACGATCGTCTTCTCTCTCTCTCTCTCTCTCTTCCCCTCTGCTTCTCTCTTTCTCTCCCTCTCTCTCTGCTTCTCTCTTTCTCTCCCTCTCCCTCTGCTTCTCTCTTCCCCTCTGCTTCGAAATCGAACCATTTGGAGCAAATGTTTCGAACTACGAAACATTTTTCTTTGTTTTTTTTATTTTTATTTGTTTTTTTTATATTGTCAACTTATTAGAACTGACATTAATACAATCATTTTAGTAGTCGGTATCACTATTGTTATTCGAACCTCTTAACAAAAGTTTTTGTAAAAGGTGAAAAAAATAAATAAATAAATAAATTGAAGTGCAAACAAGATGTCACATATATGGGTTCGTTTGGAAAGGGATCTTTTGACTTTTAAATTATTTTAATTTGAGATTAAAAAATTTTATTTAGAAATAATTTTTTGATTTTTTTGACTTTTGTAAGAAAAAGAATGTAATGATTTGTGTTAAATGTGATGTTTTGTCTTATTAGACTAAAAAATTTATTTTGTCTTTTTGTGACTAAAATAACCCTAAATCCAACCCAACCCAACCCATCTTCTCAAACAGAGGCATAATTGTTAAACATATTAGCAATGTGCAAAATTCATAATTTGCACTTATAAATATATTTATAATAATGTAACAAAAATAGTGGATCTTATATAATTAAATGTATAACTAATTATAAATTAACACTTATTAAATCATATCATTATAAATTAAATTGTGAATTTTTTTTAAAAACCTCAAACATTTTCCTAAACTTATATCGTCTTCTAGGTAGAAAAATTCCCACTTTGCTTGTGAGAGCTAAAAAATGAGCAACAATACCAATATAGAAATTGGACATAGAATTGGGCAAAACCGACGTAAACAACCCCACATTGAGTGAGGTCTATAAGCTTACAAGTATTTGCATTTGATTTTCGCTTCGTTTGGGAAGCAAAAGTTGGAACTTTTTTAGCTATTTTAGTTACAAAAAATAAAATAAATTTTTTACTTCAATAAGACAAACCATCACATCTAACCCATAATCATTACATTCTTTCTCTCACAAAAAAGTTAAAAAAGTTAAAAAAAATCTAAAGTTCTTCTCAAACCAAGCTTTTTAATCCCAGACTGAAATAGTCAAAAAAAACTAAAAGGTCAACTCACTTTCCAAACGAACCCTTTGTGCTCGATTAAATTTATTGGGTTCATTTTATGTTTTCAAAATTTGCCAAAGATGAGAAATTTCCCTATTTCAGATGGCAAAGAGGTACATGATTTGCAAAATAGCTTCAGTCATGAGATTAGGAGCAATAATCTTATGTTAAGCTACTATGTACTCAATTTTCTTCAGCTCCTTATCACACTAATAAATCTTTACAATGCTCATATCATCCTACTCCTAACAGTCCTAATAAATTTTCTTCCAACATTTCATCATTGATTAATCCCAGAAACATATCCAGCCGAGGAAGAAGAGTAGGCAAGCGAGCAATTAGAAGACCCTTGGAGGAGCATCAATTGAGTCGGGGTCATCACTGACGTTGACGATGAATAAGACGAAACTTCAGACTTCTTCATCGGCTTGTGGGCTTCACATCCTGCACCTGCCTCGTGCCTAATCTCCGTCAGCAATGCCACAACATCTTTCATCGTGGGGCGATCTTCGGCGCGATTGCTAGTGCAGAGTAGGGATATGCCGATAGCTTGGAGCATTTCTTGAATTTGAGTGTCTGGATGGCCTTGTAGCTTTGGATCGATAATGTCAACTGGGTCTTTCTTGCTCTTGAGGTGGTCTCGGACCCATTGGATGACATGTTGTTGGTCATCTGGGAAAGATGGATCTACCGGCTTTTTTCCTGTTATGATTTCTAGCAGAACTACTCCGTAACTATAGACATCACTCTTTTCAGTGATCTTTAGCATGCAACCATACTCTGCAGCCACCAAATCAAATAATTTTGAGTTGAAATAATAGGTGCATGTTTCATGGACGAATGATAGTTAAAAGGTAGGATAATAACACTTCTCTATTCAAGAAAAAAAAAATTGTATGTATAAACAGATTTCTAAATGATATTTTCTTACCACTAAGTACAACGATATAAGTCTCATGTGTAATTATTAGTGTAGATTCCATCACTTTTGTCTAATGATTAAAAAAAAAATCTAGTAAAAAATTTGATTATACTAAATGTTATTAATTCAAAAAATATTTTTAGTAAAAATGTTTTCTACACTGGGTAAAAGTCCTGAAGTACTTTATACTAATAAAAAATCACGTTGATCGGATATCATTAGTTCCTTGATCGGAACACATTTTTGTTAACAATTTATTTTTAAGATTATATTTACTATTAAAAAAATGTGTTTTGATCAATGATTTATTGATATTCAATTAATGTGATTTTTTATAATCATAAAGTACTCGATAATTTTTACACATTTAACGATTCAAATTATCGAAACAGAACCAATGATAGATCCACAGGCCCAACAATATAATCCATTAGAAGAAAAACCTCTCCTTTTTAGATAGGACTATTATAAATTAGTTTTTTTATTTATTACTAAAAAAATGTAAAATAAATAAATAAAAGTATACGATTCAAACAAGTAATAAATAAATAACTTATTTATGAGATTGCCAACTGAGCAGGTACAAAACAATAAAGTAACCAAAGAAAAAAAAAACCAGTGAAGCAAGAAGGGAAGTTAATTAAAACGGTCCTTTCACATCTATAACCTGCTGTCATAATCAAATTTATGGTATTGACAAAACTGTGGTCCTTTCACATCTATAACCTGCTGTCATAATCAAATTTATGGTATTGACAAAACTGTTCGCTGAATTTTATGACCATATCCATGAAAAATTTTAACACTCCTTTTAAAAAATAATGTATTATATGTATTTTTATGGGTAATTTGAGAGGGTGTAAGTAAGTATATTTTTTGATTTTTTATGAAATATAAATTGAGTATGAGTTGGATTTGAAGTGATGTGATAGAGAGGTAATATGACTTAAATAAGATGATGTGACTTAAATAAGATAGTAACTTTTTGACTTTTTAAATTACGACAAACAAGACCTTAATTTAATTATTTTTTAAATTATGATTTCTGAATTCTTTAATTATATCTAATTTTGTGTTTAATTATGATATTTTTTTAATTATAACTCAAAAAATTCAGGTACTATTTGTTATTCTCTACATTAACAAACTTTTTTATTTATTTATCTTTTTATCATTTTTAGGTGACATCATCTCTCAATTTTTTATACATCTTTTAATAAAAAATCAAAAAATAAATCATTCCAAATATCTTCTAAAATTATATTGTTTTTTTATTTATCTATAAGTTTCATACAGTGCATTCCCTTTAAACCACAATATTTTCCCATCCATATATTTTCATTCTGATTTCATCAAATTTTAATGCATTTTGATTAGAATGTACGAAATATTCAATTTTTATAATGGTATAAATCTCTTATATATATGATATTTGATTTAAGGAGCAGCTTGTGTCCAGTCTGCGATCGGATTGGACGGTACTGTTGAGCTTGTGGGGCCCATCATAGGTTTCGTTTTGATAATTTGAACCGTTGAATGCGTAGAACTCGTCGAGTACTGTATGTCTATAAAAAATCAAATTGATCGGATATCGATAGCTATGTGATCAAAATAGTTTTTTGTCAACCGTTAATTTGTCCACAGTCCAATTTTTTATACAAAACTGATTTAATTACATAACTATTGATATCCGATCAAAGTAATTTTTCATAGGCATATAATACTCGATGAGTTCTACACATTAAATGGTTCGAATTATCAAAATAAGACCAGTGATGAGTCTCCACAGACCCAACAGCATTGTCCAGTCTAATTTCAGACTGGACACAAGTTGAACCCTTCATTTAAGTCTTTTGTGTGTGTTAATTATAAACTTGATTTATCTATCATATTATAATTTATTTCAAAATTTAGAATAATATCACAGCATCCATATAAAATTCTACAAAAAGAAAATTCTTGACTGTAACCCTCTATTAATTATCAAAATTGAGTTCAAAATGCTTCTTCCTTTCAATGGTTTTCATAATTGAATTGAGAATGTCCAAATAGTGCATTTTCATTATCGTGAATACTAGTTTGTTTTCTCCTAAATCAAGACATGAACAGAAAGAAAACGCAGTACCTAAGAAAATGTGAAAAGTCATAATTGTTGTCACTATTTTGGATCATGCGTAATTATAAGAAGTAATTATTTATCAGTTGGAAAAAAAAAATTACATAAACACGGAGATGTACAAGTAAGACCTGTATTTCTATAAGACCTGTATTTCTATAACTTTTCACTCCCAGCAATGTTAGGCATCATAAAAAACTTTTCATGAAAATAATCATGAAAGTTTTGTGACCCTTGGATTATAATTAGAATAAAGCACCACACACTAATCAAGGTAATCCAAGAATCATAAATCTTTCATGATCATTTTAATGAAAAAATTTTCATGATCCCTAACTTTTCTCTTCACTCCCATCCCTTGTCAAAATCACTCACACCCTCTATTTTTTTGCAATTTTTTTTTTTTTTCCCTCTCCACTATGTAATTTCCCTAATTATAATTGCTCATTTGTTTGCATAAAAATTATTAAAACCAAATAACTAATAAAATAAAAGAATAATAAATAACAAACTTACCGGGGGCAAAGTAGCCGTAGGAGCCTGCAAATTGTGGAGGGTTGGCTGAAAAGGAGCCATGTTCATCCTCAACGAGCCTAGCTAATCCAAAGTCCGCCAAGCACGCCTCGTATCGCTCTCCTAACAGTATATTCTGCGCCTTCACGTCCCTGTGTAGGATAGCCGGAACGCAGTCATGGTGCAAGTAAGCTAACCCCTCCGCCACCCCTAACGCTATCTTCAACCGTGTCTCCCACTGCACCACCACTCCTCCGCCACCACCACCGCCGCCGCCACCGTCGTGCAACAATGCACCCAGTGTACCATTAGGCAAATAATCATAGAACAATAGCTTTGTCTTCCTATTAGCCCCCCAACCCAAAAGCCGAACAATATTCCGGTGTCGAATTCTTGCCAATGTCGCAATTTCCGACGAAAATCCCGACGCCGAGAACTTTTCCGACGACCGGAATCTCTTCACGGCGATGGTTAACCCTGACGGAATATTCGCCTTGTAAACGACGCCGGAACGTCCACGTCCGATCACATTCCCAGCCGTCAAGCATTTCGCCACGTCAGCAATCGAAAGGTCGAGCTTCTGGTACAGTGTGACCTCCCACGGTGGTCCCATCTCCACGTCATCGTCTCCGTCGATGTCGCCGTCGTGGGCCCGGCGGCGGGACCTCATCTTCCCTCCAAGCGTAATGTAGAGCGCTGCCACGAGGAGAGCGCACGCCGCGCACAATAGCACTACCATCGCTACCCTAGCGGCGTGGCTGGTGGATGAGCCGCCCTTGATAGCGGCGCATTGGTTGCCCGAAAAGCAGAGGTCTTGGTTTCCGGCGAGGACGCTGAGCGGCAGCTTCGCGAAGAACGAGGTGTCAGGCACTCGGCCCGAGAAATTGTTGTGCGAGACGTTGAGGACTACGAGATTTTGAAGGCCGGCGAGATATCGAAGGTCGCCGGAAAGCTGGTTGTGGGACAGATCTAGGATTCCAAGCTTGTCCAACGCCGTGAAGTCCGCCGGAATTTCGCCGGAAAGGCCGAAAAGAGTGTTCCAGCTGAGATTCAGAGTAATCTCGAGCGCCGGAATCTTACCCACTCCCGCGGGAATCTGACCGGAGAGCTCGTTGCTGCTGAGGTCCAGTAACTGAAGCTTCCAACATGAACCGATCTGAGGAGGAATCGGACCGGACAACCGGTTCTTCGCGAGGACGAGTTTGGTGAGCGAACTCAGCGATCCGAGACTCGGACTCAACGTCCCTTCAATGAGATTGTCCGAAACATCGACGAACTGGAGCGAAACAAGCTGATTCAAATCCTCCGGCAAGTTTCCGGCGATTGAGTTGGAGTGCAAATCGAGAAAAGTCAGATTCCGGCAACCGGAGATCTCCACCGGTATGACTCCGGTGAGCCGATTCGATCCGAGATCCAGGAAACTCAGATTCGTCAAGTTCCCAATCTGCGGTGGAATCGAACCAGTGAGTTTGTTGTCATTGGCTCTGAACCGTATCAGCGACGAGCATTTTCCGATCTCCGGCGGAATTTCGCCGGAAAAATTGTTGGAGAGAAGCAACAACTTGTTCAATTTGGGTAATTCGAATATACCTTTTGGAATCGAACCCATTAACGCGTTCTGCGAAAGATCAATGCCTTCAAGATTGGTGCACAATGACAAGGACGATGGTATATTCCCTTCGAGTCTGTTCTGCCACAAGAACAGTAATGATAGATTCCTCAGATTCCCAAATTCAGATGGAATTGTACCAGTGATTTGATTGTTGTCAAGCTCTACATGAGTGAGACTGCGACAATTCCCGAGCTGGGTTGGGATTTCTCCGGAGATCTGGTTGACACTCAATTGAATTTCTTGCAGAAATGTCAAGTTTCCCAAAGTCTCTGGAATGTTCCCTGTGAGTGAATTCATCGAAAAATCGATGAGCAATAGCCCGGTGCAATACCCGATCTCCGGTGGAATGATACCCACCAGGCTGTTTTGCCATAGCAGGAGGTTCTGGAGGTTCTTGAGCTTTCCTAAACTGCTTGGAATCGAGCCGGTTAGCGAGTTTTCGTACAAATAGATGTTTTGGAGGGCGGTGCAGTCACCGAGCTCTGGGGGGATTTGGCCAGAGAGGAGGGTGGTGTAGATTGCAATGGTTTGAAGGTTCTTGAGGAGGCCGAGGCTCGGAGGGAGGAAACCTGATATGCTAGTTTCAGCAAGGCCTAACATCACCAAATTGGTGCAATTCCCAATTTCTTGTGGTAGTGAGCCTTGAAGGTTCTTGTTGCCACCAGCTCTAATCACTTCAAGCTTCTTTAAGTTCCCTATGGTGCTTGGTATTCCACCACTGAGTTGGTTGTCATACACAATTAGCCACTTCAAGCTTGTGAGGTTCCCAATTTCAACCGGTATCGATCCCTGAACCCGGTTTGAATTGAGATAGAGCTTCTCAAGCTTGAACAAGTTGCCAATCTCACTTGGGATTTCGCCCGTGAATGAATTGTCACTCAAATCTAAGCAAGTTAGTTCTCGGAGTTTACCCATCTCTTTGGGAATTGAACCAGTGAGATTCGTACCCGACAAGACTAGCTTTTTTAAGGACATCAGTGAACTGAAATTAGAAGGAACATTCCCAAGCAAATCCACATACCTCAAATTGAGTTCCTCAACTTCATTGTTGAAGTTGCAGGAGATGCCAAACCACCCGCAAGGAGTTTCATCGGTGGCGTCCCAATTACTTAACGCCTGCGGTGATCCATTCAAGCTTCTCTTCCACGAGAGAAGTGATTCGCCTTGTGGGTTGACACCGGAAGCGGGTACAATTAAAAACAACAAAAAGGAGAAGATGAAGAAGAGGGTCCATGGATTAACAGGCATTACAGCTACACTGCAAACTCCAATGAGAGGCACAGAAAGCAGCAGCAGCAGCAGGGGTATGAGCCTAGGGAGGAGGGACAATGGTAGAAAAACCAAATCATGTCTTGTAGGCTATGGATTTTTTTTTTATTATATATAAATAGATGTATTATAAAAAAATTATAGTGAGAGACCCCGGAATCTCTGGATCCAAGAAACAGCTAGGCCATGATGTGTTTGAGCAGAGAGAAATGGAATTTTAGAGGGTTGTTTATTATATGTATTTGTTTATGGAGGAAGTGATAGTGGGGAGGAGGGAGATGCCTGTTAATATATGTTTTTTCAAAATGAAAGGTAGATTGGTTGTGACCTGAATGAGTAGTGCTGACTCTGCCCTTATTTGTTTAGATGTCAATCTTCACATGGGGCATTTGTTACCACTCACCAATACCTTTCATTTTTCTTTTCTTGGATTTCTTTTAACCAATATGGTACCCAGAGATTAAGCTAATTTATGTTTTTGACTGGATTCGGATCTTGAATCCGATCAAGGGAAGCATCAGCATCCTAGTGTCAATATGGGAAATGAGTTTGGATCTAGATCTAAATAACTGCAGAACTTGTCTGGGCAAGTACGTGTAAGCTCCAATTTGATCCGCGTCAACTAGATCTACGACAAAATCCATTTTAGGGTCATGAATCTTTGATTTAATTCTAATATGGTTGTATTATTATAATAGGAGTATGACAACCAAAGCATTAATTTGACTTGGTGGCTGGCAGCAACCCACAAAATCAGGCACCCATTCTCTAATATAAAAATGCTCATTAAGGTTTCTAATCGAATTAACAAACTATCGTGTGATGTCGCGTGACAACAGGCCATTGTTGATCATTTGGAATATTGGATTACTTCACAATTATGTATGTTCTTAATCCACATATTGCCTGCCTCGTGACTTCATATTATTTTACTTAAAATTATCTTACAAGGGTGTCTGTTAATTAGGAATCTAAGCACAAGACAAGGTGATTGGCATGTGAGATGAGAGTGAGAGAGAGAGAGAGAGCAGAGTAGTTTTAAGGCCAAATACTCCATGGTGTAGGACAGCTTTTGTGTATGAGGTCATTTTATATGTTGATGGCATAGAGCAAGAGATAAGCACAACCCCATCAAAAGCAGAGAAAAAACCACCACATTCTGTTTTTTGTTTTCATTTTCCAAGAAACAAGTAAAACATCAAAAAACTTGTTTTCAAATTTTTAAAAATTATCTTCTCACAAAAATAGAAACAACGAGGTAACGTTTGATAATATTTACATTTTTTTGTTTATATTTATAAAAATTTTATAAATTGATTTTTGTTTATTTTTAGAAAAACATAAACTATAAACGTGTTTGGTTTGAACAAAATGTTTGAAAAATTTTTAAAACATAAACTAAAAAAATATATTTGTTCAGGCCTAAAATATTTATATTTATTTTTTATTATTTATGACAATGGGATCATACACATTATAATTAGAAAAAAAAATTATTTGAAAAAAAAAATTTAATTGAAAAAAAAAATTTGTTAGTCAAAATTTTAGATTTCTGTTTAAAAACCAACGTAAACTCATTTTTTGAGTTTATATTTTTTTCTCAAATTTATAAATTGAGACAACAATTTATAAACTAAAAAAATTATCAAACAAGGTTTTATGACAATTTTTAAAATTTTTGTAAATATAAACTGAAAACGAAATACTTACCAAATAGGCAGTATTTGTTGTTTTTGTTTCCAAAAACATAAAAACAAGAAGAAAAAATGAAAACACAATCTAAAAGGAAAGCTTTGCCCCTAATGAACATCTTTTCCTCAATTTAATTCCATCGTTGTTACCACAATCATATATATCAGCCCATGTACAAATCGTACTAAACAAAACACGGATTAATGTGAACAAATGGGCTCCATCCAAGGTGATCCCAATCTATAACTCAATGATAATTTAGTTGATTCATTTCAATTGAAAAGGCAGAGACATTTTCCGAGACTGTTTGCTTTTCTGTTTGGAGGGTAGGAAAGTTATGTTGCAGGGTCATGTCTCTAGAGGCATATCACGTGTATAAGGGGCCAAGTTGTGCTTTGTTTGGAGATCATACCCTTCTTCTAATTTATGATTGCTTTTGTAGGCCTTGCGGCTTTTTATTAGACCATTTTAGCATCATAATAATCATGAAAATATAAGTGTAGATACATATATGATCCATACATCCATATTCGATTGCCCTTTTTGCCACCAAAACTTGGTAGCCTCTTTGTTGAAGATGCACAACTAGTTTTCTGGTGAAATTCAATGCTTAGCTAAACCCCTTAGTTCAAAAGGAAATAAAATAGTTACACCTATTCATAATCTAAATGTGATAGTGTAATGCTGTGTTTGGTTAGGAGATTTGAGGAGGGATTTAGAAAGTGAAATGGAAAAGATAGGTGAAATGTGAATAAAACATACCTATATTTCACCTAATTTCACACACCGTTTCCCTTTTCCTTTCCAAATCTCTCCCCAAATCCCTTAACCAAATACAGCGTAAAAGTGCACATCACGACCAGCCTTGTCTTTTCGTATCAGGCATCTTCTATTCTAAAATTTTTATTTTTAATGTACTGTTATTAAAGACATGATGTAGTGAGAATCTCAAAATACGATAATCTTGAGACACAATTGTTCCACTAAGGAGTATATTAGAGACATGAGGGCATGAATTTTGGTGAGAAAATATCCCGGGTTCGTTTGGTTTGTATTTCTGAAAAAATTTTGGGAAATTCTCTACAAATAAGTTTTTAAAAGTAATTAAACCAAACAAATTTTTCCAAAAAAATTTCTCAAAACTTGTAAACCAAACAAGTTTTCCAAACAAATCTCTCCCTCACACACATCAAATCAATCACTTTTTCCAAAACTCTCTCCCAAAATAATTTTCCAAAACATCTTTTGAAAAAAATCAAACCAAACAACTTTTCATACTTTTTATATCCAAAACACATCTCTCAAACACAAACCAAATATACCCCTCATGTCTATTTTTCACAGATCATCCAAACCCTACCATGTCAATGAAAACAGAATTTTTGGAAATATACTATTATGGTGTTCTTATATTTTTGGAGGGAAACTGAAGTAACAGATAAAGAATAAAACAGTGAGGGATTGCTATATTGCATGACAATTTGAAGCTGTTTGCTACTTTTTCAATTACAATATCAAGAATTTTATTTTCCATTTCCTCATTTGCTATGTAGATATGGTTTCTTATCTTCTCGAGTAATGGTTTCTTTAATACCACCCTGATTTGATTCGTAGGATATTCTATTCACATCCATGTTATATAATTTATAAGTAGTAGTCAACCACAATGGTAGCTCAGCTCTTACCACATCTCTAATGATTATTGTTATAATGTCATTGTTATTGTTATAATTTGACAATGCATAATAATAATTTATCAAATTATAGCAATGGTGCTCCAATGGTACACATGTTATTTTGGTAAATCTCAACAAACTTTCCCTCTAAGTTTGTAGATGTTGTTTGGATAAAAGTTTTTTAGTGATTTTTTTTTTTTTTGACCTTTTGTTGTCTGTTTGTAAAGAAAATTATATATTTATATTATACCCAACTAGACAAATATAAAAAATGAAAAAGAATTTGAAAAATTGAAACAATAAATTTAAATACTCAAAATTACATTAGAACATAAAAATGACATTGCAAATAAAGGCTAAAAATTACATTAAAATAAATGGCATTGCAATTTGACTGTCTCTCTACCCTCACCGTTGGATCTTTATATAATCCAACGGCAAAGTCAACTTCTAGAGTCTCTCTCTCTCTCTCTCTCTCACACACACACACACAAACATTCCAATTTGGCTGTCTCTCTATCTATCTCCCTGTCTCCCTCACTCTCATTGTCTTTCTCTCATCTATAAACCCTCTTCTGATGAATCTTCATCATCTCTAACCCTCTTTCTCTTCATCCCTTAAACCTTTCTCTCTCTCTTTCCCCTCTTCTCCAATCCCCCCTCTCTCTCTCTCTCTTAGAGAGAGAAAAATTGATGATCATCTTCTCTGTGTTTAGATTAGTGAAGATTAGAGACATCGATGATCATCTGTGTTTGTCGCCAGCTCGTTCCTCGATTTCGACGATAGCAATCGCAGGGCACGACGACTTACACTTCCCTCTTGATCTCGGCTCTATCCAAGATCGCAATGACGAGGCACTTCTCGGTGAGTCTATTCTCTTTTTCAACCATTCTTGTGAACTACTTCAAATTGGACCGTCTGGGTCTTTATGGGTTTGAGATATGTTGAGATTACTTGGATTGCTTGGATTTGTTGCTTGGATTGTTTGGATTTGCTGAGAATAATTGAAAATTTGTTTGAGATTGTTTCAAAATTATTTGAAATTACTCAAATATATTTATTGTTGTTGTTGCTGTTGTTGCTGCTGCTGCTGCTTGAATGTTGTTGTACAAATATATATATATATATATATATAATAGTGAAATTAGGGCTATATTGCAATACTAATAAAATATGAGGGTATGGACTAAATTTATAATTTAAAATACCTATTTCAAGTATAGAATTAATTAAAATAGAGACAAGGAAGATAATTTGCATTGCACTACTTCGCTTTAAAATGAAAAGTGAATAATCGAGCGAAAACAACAATAACCTAAAATTAGGGTTTAATTTGCGAATAAACAAGGAACTCAAGACTTTATTGTAATAATTCAAAGGTTGGGGCATTAATAAGGTTTACAAAAGTTAGGGGTCTCATAGAAGCTCCGACTTCCATGCCATAAGTAGGCTAAACGCCCACAAGTGCATCTCACACGATTCATGCCACTTTATGGCACCAAACTCACCCTTGAGTGAGGCGCTTGTCCAACTGAGGTCCAATTCAATCAAGGTGCCCCTGTGTCAACGTGACTCACAATTGACCCAACACAATGTTTCCCAACTGTGCACTGATCTAGAACCCTCAATTTAGCTGACAAGTTTTCTTTCTTTTGAATAAGGTCTCTTGTTGCGCCCGTCTCGAATAGCCATAAGTGATTGAGGTTGCATGTGTGGCCACAACTCAAATCCTAGTGCATGCATTGATATGCCAAACCATCCACCAAGGGTCATTGCGCACCCAAGGCATTGCACTAATTTGTAGCATGAGCATGACAACCTACATCAATAGCCCTCAATTAGCATTCTGACTTCCCACAAGCTCCACACAATGTGCCTCGTATGATGGCAATGGTTTATGACATTCAATTGTTTCCACGAGTAACGGTGTTGTCACCAAACCGCTAGCTAGGCTATGTGACCCTCGCGTTCACGGATGAACCCAAGTCTATGTTCACAAGTTGGCACATGACGCCTTAATGATGGCATGCCTCGATAGCCCAATTCGTTCGATCCAAAACCACACCACGATT